GGGAGCGGTTAATCTTCACCCAAAGATATTTTTTTTCCAATTGATTTTGAGAGACAGTGAAAGGGGGGGAGGAAGAGGAGGGGAGAGAGAGAGAAAGAAACATCAATGTGAGAGAGACATATCAGTTGGTTGCCTCCCACACACACCCCAACTGGGCCAGGGATCAAACCTGCAACCCAGGTATGTGCCCTTGACCGAAATCAAACCCAAGACCCTTAGGTACATGGGCTGATGCTCTAACCACTGACCCACACTGGCCAGGGCTGGTCAACATTTAGATGGCCTTAAGCTTTTCGGTGTAATAAAATAAAAAGTAGGCTTCAGTCTTTTTATAATGGTATTGACAAGCAAAGAAAGAAGAGTCAGAGTTGCTCACAGAGCAACTACTGCATCGTGCCTCTATTTTTAAAGAAACAAAAGACCAAAAACTTATAGTCCTGTGAGTATACATAAGTGGAAACTAAAAGAGGGCAGGGTGCCAGGAAAGAGGGAAGCTAAGGAAAAAAATATCACTATACACAGAAGCACTAGGTTTTTAATTGCCCAGTACACTGCAGTAAACTTGAAAGGGTGTCTCAGAGTTTTTTACCTTTTTGAGGGAAATGTAATAAATCTTAACTGTCACACACTGAGACAGCTATTATTTCACAGTTTCAACATTAGATTGTGTGATAAAAAGCAAGTATCATGTAAAAATCAGTGAGGAAGAGGACTCCAGTTTGACTCCAAGGTTTGAGAAGCTGTGTGGTGCCCACTGGGGCACACACCCTATTAGTTAAGTAACGAATGAACAAAAGATAATATTTTTCTGCCCGGCCCATGTCACTCAGTGGTTGAGCATTGAGCCACAAACCAGGAGATCACAGTTCAATTCCGGTCAGGGCACAAGCCCAGGTGGCAGGTTGCAGGCTCGATTCCCAGTGGGGAAGTGCAGGAGGCAGCCGATCAATGACTCTCTCTCATCACTGATGTCTCTCTCTCTCTCTCTCCCTCTGCTTTCTTCTCTGAAATAAAAAAAAACATATTTTTTAAAAAGATAATATTTTTCTTTCAGTCTGTGTGTATTATTTTTTTCAAATGCTGGTTAAGTTGTGATGACATAAATACTTAAGTTGTTTAGACATAACTACTTTATGAAAGGACTGGTAAGTAATCCTTTTGGCCTGGGGCACTCTGAAAAATTACTGAGACACTAAGAGAACTTCTGACTCAGATACAAATTTCCAAAAATAATTAAGGAACGTTACTTACCACTGAGAAAAGAACTGAGAAATCATGAAAGTGGGCAATCACTTTCTTCATTATTGACTGAAGCTGCAAACAAAACAAAAAACACACCTTATTTCATGAAACTTGGAGATTTTTTTAAAGGCAACGCTTTTGTAATTTGTAATCACAATTACAAGAGGGGAACCTGGGTTGCTCAAGGCCTGGGGAATGACTGGGTCAGTCAGGCCACCTCTCAGTCCAAGTCTGCCCCTCTTATTCTGTACCTTGGGAAAACAGCCTCTCAGTCTCGAATCCCTCTTCTGTAATGTGCAGAGCAAGGCAGTATTTTGCTCATTGTGAGGATTAAATGGGATAGTTCAGGTACACTGTGCCTGCCCTTCAAAGCCCTCCATTAAAGTCAGCTATGAATATTCAAGAAGTGAGCAAACATCTTCTATAGGCATACAGTCATCACAACTACATAACCATGCTATTGTAGCTAGGAAGCAGCCATGGACAACAGGTAAACAAAAGGGTGTGGCTAGGTTCCCATAAAACTTTATTCACAAAAATAGCTGCTGGGCTACATAAGCCAATAGGCCCTAATTTGCAGACCTCTGTTCTAGCCCATCGTAACTGTGTTCCTCTACTGCTTCAGGGGAGAGGCACCTGCCCAGTTTGCCAGTCAAGTCAAAGGCCACATCATTACCGGAGGGTGGTGGTATGGTCTGAAGTCAGCCTCAGATGCCCAGGTAATAATGTCCACCACTCGTGGCCCTGAGATGTACACAGTCCTGTTGACAGGGCCTTGTCAGGAGAGAACCAAGGAGCCACTTTTTCTAAATAAAATATAAACCTCTGCCTGCCCCTGGTTACTGTTATGAAGAGAAAACTCACTGACAAATACTTTGTTTATACTAAGAATATTGCCGCTTACAAATCCTTTGCAAAGGAAATTGCTCATTCTAAAAACAGAATATTAAGAGGTATGATACCATTTCATAATTAAGTAGCTTTTTAGGTCAGTCAAGCAAAAAATTAAGATACTGCAATATTGTGTGGTTAAAATAGCTTCGGAAACCTTATCCATAGCAACTAATCCCTTTAGAACAGGAATGCTTTATAATTCTTAAATACAATTACACATAATGCATTGCATTATACAAATGTCATATCCCTGACATTTCCACTTTGCTGTTAGCAAATTCAGGAAGGTTAACACTGATGTAGTTACAATACTTCAATCTATCATCCATGTCCCTTACTTGTCACTGTGTAGGCTGTAAATGGTGATTTTTTTAACTCTACCATTTCTTCCACATTTCTCAACCAGCACCTCCACTTGCTTTTCCCTTCATCTATTTGTTTCTATTCATCATTAGAAAAGTCTCCTGGATTCCTATTTTACTCGGTACGTTATAATCGACCATTGTCATTTTCTGATGTTCAAATTGGGAGCTTGTGAGAGTCGCTTCAGTTTTCTGAGTACTTCCCTACTTTCTGGCACAAGAAAATGTTCCAGGCTTACCATGTGCCTTCCCTGTCCCTGACCTGGAGTAAGCTAATTTACCACAGCGATGCAACCCCGCTTAAGACCATGGGCTCACAACCAACATGGGCGGGTATCACGCATGCAGGCTGACCCCAGGGTACCTATTATGAGGTGCTTTGAGATATGACAGAATTATAGTACAGTATAATTCCCGTCTCTCTCTCAGGAATAGGCTGCACGAAAATCATTATGTTTTCAATTAATTGGGTCCCTAGCATTCGAGGTCTTACTGAAACTTCCTCAACAAAAATTCTAATGCACACCACTCTTCACATGGGCGCGAGACCTTGACAGCCCTCAAGGTATGACCCAGTTTCTTGACACTGCATACTTTACACACTTTATCCACTCAACACCATTTACCCAAGAGCCTGCTGAGCACGACCAGGTATAAAAAAATTAAATCTTAATTAAATTAAAAGTTACTTTACAGTAAGAGACACTGAGCTGGATTCTGTACTGGAAAGGGAGGAAAAAACCTACTCTCAAGGACACTGTTGAGTCCAGTGACAAAACAGGGACAGGGATTATGCAGTAGGTAACGGTGATATATTAATGTTAAATTTCTGAAGTTGATAACTAAACTGGGGTTAAATAGAAGAATGTACTTGTTCTTAGGAAATGCTCACTGACCTCTTCAGAGGCAAAGCGCTATGATGTGTGTAACTGATCTTCAAATGATTCCGAAAGCATTTGCATCTGTGTGTGCCTGTGTGTGAGCTCACATAGGGTAATGATAAGGCAAGTAAGGGGCACGTTCACAGCTGGTGAACATGGTAAAGAATAAGGCGGCTTCTCCAAGCTATTCTTTCAACTTTTCAATATACCTGAATTTATTTCCAAATAAAAAGTCAGTGTAACTGATAAACCCAGGCACCTTATTGAGCCCAGAAAGTGTGCCAGGGTTTCCCATCCACACCTCACTTAATCTTCACAACCACTCTGAGAGTAGGACTATTACTACCCCCATTTTGCAGGGAAGAAAACTGAGGCACGAGGTTAAGTAACTGAGTAAAGGGTACTCGGTCAGGATATGATAGCTGATTCAAACCCAGGATTATGTGACTTTATGGTGTGACCCATGCAACATGGCAATTTAATTCAACAGGATAAAAATCCCGACAGTGTGGGAATGGAAAATGGGAATCTGTTACCTGAGGGTAGGAGTCTTCAAATGCTCGATCTGGAGTCATGTGCTTGATGACATCAGCCAAAACCGTATTCACCTCTCTTTTCTAGTGGGGAAAATGAACGAAACCGCCATTGGACACTGAATGGTAGTCACTGACCGTATTTCTGGGGAAAAGGCCGAATGTTTTCAGAATACAGTGCACATCCCCAGAAAGCAATCTCACAGATCCCGCTGAAACTACGATGAGGGGGAAAACCCCACCCACATCACAGCCTTAAAGGTGGCTATGTCCACACCAACAGGACTGAAACACCATTCTGAAAGGTGCAGGGCATTACATGCCCCTGCTTTCCCTAGGTGCTGGGAAAATGGGCCATGCCACTTTCTGCCTGCCTGTCCCAGGCCCCTCTCCAAATGCTGCAGAGAGCAGCAACACTGTGGTATGAGCACAGACTTGCCCCCTACAAGCCAGGTAACCCAATACCCACTTCACCTTTGTGGTCTGTATCACAGCCCAAATCCAGCCCAATGCCTATTTTTATATTGCCCGTGAGCTAGGAATGGTTCTTACACTCAAACCAAAAACAGAGTATCACTTCATGACAGTGAAAATTACAAGAAATTCCAATTTCAGTGCATAGATAAAGTTTTCCGGCACACAACTGCACTTACATATTGCCCGTGGCTGCTTTCATGCCTCAATGGCAGAGTTGGAGATTGTATGGTCCATAAAGCCTCAAATATTTACTATCTGGCCCTCTGTGGAAAAAAGGCTATATAATGGGAGCACTGAAGTCTCTTGGCAAGGTGGCTCTGAGGCTGTGGGGCTTACAAGTAAATTACTGGGCACACAGCACGTTATCTAAATAGTTGCAATTATGTTTACTCTCTTGTCTGATGCTCATTAAATTCACCAGCATGGACACCATTACTCTCATTCCACAGATGAGGAAGTGGAGGCTCAGAGAAGTTAAGTGACTTAGCCAGGATCACACAGCAAAAAAATTTGAAAACAGCACTAAAAAGACCCAAAGTTCCTTGGAGAAAGTAGTGATTCTTAATCTGGGATAAGAAATATTCAAAAGAGGTGGAACATCTTAGAAAGCAAGGACGGCATCCAAGACAACCGAAAGCATGTCTGAGGGCCCTGGAACCAACCTGAAAAGGTACCCACTAGACAGAAGGGGGACAACTGAGCATCAGTAAGAATAATATAATTCAAGCATGTTTAAATCCACAAGTTCCTAAAGACGTCACAGCAACGACAACTCACGGGTCCGTCTGGGGATGTTGGGGAATTGAATTTTTATTCTAAAGACTAGTAAATAATGGACAACACCGCGCAATACTACCTTTCTGTACAAACTGTTTCTTAGGGCAACCAAATACCTGATGAAAGGGTCTCTCCTTATACAAGTATCCTAGACAACAAATAAAGAAGAAATGATAGTAGCTCCGAATATCACCATTTGTGACCTCTGGTAAACTGTGGCTACTCACAGCACAGAGAGACGAGCAGACCCCACAAATACCCCAGGAGAAGCACCACCACCCCTGTTGCCAGAAAAGCAAACCTGAAGCTAATAAAGGCTCCAGACCTGTCATTTATAGGAGATACTAAAGGCAGAAGAGCATGCTGAAGACCACAACAGGGGTGCAACTGACCAATCCAGAATGGGAAACTGCAGGACAAACGATCCAGTTCCTTCAACAAATAAATCACAGAAGGGGGAAAAAAAAGGAAAAAAAAAGGAAAGGGAGGGAAGAGGAAGGAGGAGAGAGACAAAGAGAGAACTTACAGATTTTTAAAAATCCTAAGAAGAGAAATCTGAACATGGACTGATTTTTAATGACATTAAAGCATTATTAATTTTTTTTTTTTTTTTAGTTAGGATGATGTACTGGGATTTTGCGCTAAAAAAGGGAATTCTTATATTTTACAAATAAAATATGTAATAGAATATTGACAGATGAAATGCAATATCTGAGATTTGCTTCAAATTAATCCAGGAGAAGGAGTAAGGACATGAAATAAGACTTGTCCTAAGTTGATCATTTCTGGGTGATGAATATAAAAGAGAAATCCTATGTTGAAATTTCCATGACAATACATAAAACAAAAATTGGAGAAAAGAAACAAAATCAACAGAACATTTATACAAAACTCAAAATGAGGCAAAACTGAGTACTGGAGTTAGAGGCCAGGGTGGTAGTTTCCTTCCACTTCCAAAGGCGAGGCTGTAACTGGAAGGCGAGGGCAAGGGACTTTGAGGAGGGGGCAAGTTACTTCCCATTTCTTAATCTGGACCATGATTACATGGGGGAATTTTATGAAGATTAATTAGGCAGCAAACTTACGATATATGTGCTTTTCTGCATGCTTGCTACACTTGAATTTTTAAAAATTGATTAAAATAAACAACTCTGGCAATAGGATTTGAACCCAGTTCTACTTGTTTCTAAAGTCTCTGCTCTCTGACATGCACGGTATTTCCCATACTGAGGTTCTAATCTGGGCCTCGGGAAAGAAGTGTCTTTGTGTGTTTAGGAAATAATTACATGGAAGTCAAATATGTTTGGGAAATGCTGCCTACTAGACCCATGTGGAAAGTCACAGTGCAATTTAGCATATAAGGACCTAACATATCTTATAGTGAAAAAACTCAACTTTGCACAATGTAGCATTTCCCAAATTTACATGGAACACATCTGTTATAGCACACACATTAATGCTGTCACACTGTACAACAAAGGAAGAACTTTCTATAAATTATGAATAATTACCACTGTAAAATGCCCAAGCTTGACCTACTCACTATTATAACCATGAAAAAGATATAATTCTTTCAAAACCACCACCACAGCCACACATACCGTGAAATGCTTGCAGGTGTACTCTGCCCACACTTCGGCACAATTAATGTAGTCCTACAAAGAAAAGGTAAAAATGTCTCCAGTAAGAACACCACAGTTGACTTATGGCAGAAGAGCATCATGTACAAATCCTTTCAAGGGCTGTGACAATTAAGAGTTGACAACTGATAGAAATGTCAAGAGTGATTTACCTACAGAAAACTCTGGCCCACTGATATCCTTTACCCTGAGATGTGAGTTATAGAAAAACATAAGTCGCTTGAAACTGTGAACCCTGGGAAAAAAAGACACCTACTAAGAAGGGCTCCCGGTGGCTAACTAGGCTTAAATTTTAAAAACAGAGCCTAGCAGCCATTTCTATGCAGGGCCTCTCGTGCAAATTGCACTTCAGGGAGCAGCCTGCACTAAGCTGCCTCCCTATACACTGAACTGCCTCCTGCGCCGTGTTCCCCCATCCGAGCCAGCCCTTTATAAAGGAGTTGCCTGAATCCTATTTCAACCAACAGGACTGAGGCTCTCCGCATCTAATTAGAGCTGTGCAACTATATCCGCATCAGCTTCTGCACCAACCAATCAGAGCAACTCAATTCTGATCAATCGAGACGGTGCCTTTTGGAACAAGCAAACTGTGAGGATTTGGAGTCCTCGCACCAATCAGGCACCAGGGGCGAGTTCTGTCTATATAAGTCAGCTGCTCCCCTCTGGCTCTGGAACGCAGTTTCCCTTTCCACCAGGCTGAAGACTGCATTTCCCAGTTGGAGTTAGCACACCCAAGATGAGACACAGATGATGTCTCGCAGGAACAGAGTGGAACAGACCAGTGCAGGGGAGGCTATAGACTGGCGGGGAGCACAGCAGAGGTGTCTAGCCTGAGAGGGGCCTGGATCCAGGGCCATCAAACAGGTGAGGTGCTGTATTCACAGCTATGCTGTATCACAGTTGAACTGTTTGCACTGAAAAAAGCTTCCTGCTTTACCGCGTCACAAGCTGGGGATTCCTGTTGGTGTTGAATTGAAGCCAACAACATTTGGTTGACAAACTAATTAGATTTTCATTCCAGAACTGCTACCTGGGCCAAGATAGAAAACTGGGAAGCTCTACCAGGATTAAAGAATGGGAAGAACCAAAGGGCAGTGGAGGTAACAGGGAGGCCCTCACCACACCTCCTTGAAGCAACTGATGGCAGATCTGGTGTAAGACTTCAGACTCGCCTAAAATGTGATTTTTCAAAATCAGGCTTCCTGCCTTATATGCCCTACAGAGGGGTGACGTGTATATGGTGTAAAAAAGTTAAGAAAGCACAAAGGGCGGTTTTCAAGATGGCAGCAGAGCAGGTGGATCCTTCCTGCACCTCCTCTGAGAATCAAATTGGAAATATAACTAAATTGGGGAACATTCTTCTGGAATTAACAAATGAGGACTAGGTGAACAGGCAACTTTTTGTTGTTTTTGTTCATCCTCACCTGAGGATATTTTTTCCATTGATTTTTTTAGAGAGAGTGTAAGGGAGAGGGAGAGACAGAGAGAGAAACATCGATGTGAGACAGACACATCAATTGGTTGCCTCCTGCACACATCCCAACCAGGGCCGGGGATTGAGCCTGCAACCAAGGTATGTGCCCTTGACCAGAAATAGAACCCATGACCCTTCAGTCCGTGGGCTGATGCTCTAGCCACTGAGCCAAATCAGCCAGGGCTGAATAGGAGATTTTTTAACAAGGAAGGGCAAAAACCACCTCAAGACTGGTAGAAAAGACGGGGTCACGAGAGGGGCTGCCCCACTCACACAGGTTGCAGGAGAAGGGGAAGGAGGGATAGCTCGGCTGTGGGGGGGTTTCCCTGAGAGAAACCAGACCCCAAGCTGGGCTCCCCAGCCCAGAGCACCAGAGCCAAGAACAGCAGCCCATGTAACATCCAGCTGTGAAAGGCTTCTATCAGCCAGGGAGAGAGGCAGACTGTTGGAGATAAAGCCACTTTCAAAACAAAACAAAAACCCAGAGCACAGGATTTTCGTTGCAGCCACTCACCTGAGGCTTTGGTGAAGGGAGGATAGTGTGAACTGGAGTCACCTGAGGAGAATCTGGGGTTGGGGGAGTTGGGGAGACAGGGAGGAATGGCAGCCAGGAGACCTGAGCTTGATCATCTCCCCCACCCATACCACAGCAGCCATTTTTCCTGAGAGGCACAAGCCCTTCAAAGCCCCAACAGCTTGAGAAAGCAGAAGGGTAGTCTAAGGGAATTTTGGGAAAACATGAAACGTGACAGCATCCACATCATAGGGGTACCAGAAGGAGAAGAAAGAGAGCAAGGAACAGAGAATCTGTTTAAAGAAATAATAACAGAAAACTTCCCTAACCTGGTGAAGGAAAAAATCACACAAGTTCAGGAAGCACAGAGAGCCCTAATAAAGATGAACCCAAAGAGACCCAATCCAAGACAAAATTAAAATGACAAACATTAAAGACAAAGAAAGGATCTTAAAGGCAGCAAGAGAGAAAGTTACCTACAAGGGAGTTCCCATTAGACTATCAGCTGATTTTTCAACAGAAACACTTCAGGCCAGAGGGGATGAAGTATTCAAAGCAATGAAAAATAAGTGACTGAATCTAAGACTACTCTATCCAGCAAGGCTATCATTCAAAATTGAAGGGGAAATAAAGGGCTTCACAGACAGAAAAGACTAAAGGAGTACACTACCACCAAACTAGCATTGCAAGAAATGTTACAGGGACTGCTGTAAGAAGTAAT